AAAGGGGGGGGGTGGGGGGCCTCGCCGCATGCACAGGAGAGGCGGGGAAATTGGGGGAAAAATCATTAAAAAAATAGAATAAACGAAGGAGAGAAGGATGGAGCGGGAGAGGGGTGCGGGGATGCTCGAGGTCCGCGCCGGGTACGTACAGAGGTGGCCGGTGCCGGAGCTGCTCGAGTGCTTTTATTTTTAAAAACCGAGTGCAGGGTGCGTTGGAGCTGAGGTCTCTACCTCTCTCGGGGAGCTTTGCTGAGAAAGCGCCTCTCTGGCAACTTTTTGACGCAAACTCTCCAACCAATGGCAGGGAGAGAGTGATTGACACATCTAAGCCAGGGGGAAAATAATAAAAACACACAACAGGGGGAGGAAAAAACAGGCTGCTGCTGTGGCAGGGGGACAGGCGGCCCCGAGGGGGTGGTACAAGGACTGGAGAGGGGGGGACATATGATAACAATAAAATATTAAAATATATAAGAGGGTTTTTTTTTTTTTTGGGTGGGGGACCCGGCCTGGCCTCAGCGCCTGCTGGGGCCGAGGTAGCCACAGGGCGAGGGGCAGCCTGGGGAAATGAACCATCCCGGGGAGGGGTATATACATACACACAGACCCATATATATGTGTATGTATTTATATATATATATATATATATGCATGATATAAAATTGGAGCTGACCCCCGTCTCTGCCACCAACTTTTCCCTCCAGTCGCGGCCCCCTCCCGGTTAAAGCAGAGCTTAAAAATAAACCTTCGGGAAACGGGAAGGATCCCGAGGATGGGAGGCATTTTAGGCAGGGGGGAAGCAGAGACCCCCCCAAGCCCTGCACACACTTTTCCTCCCTTCTGACAATGTGTGTGGAGGGGGTGAACTGGCTCCATCATTTTCACGTGGCGACCTATGTTAATGAAGTTATAGTAATTAATTCGCCTCTTTGTGGCTCTTTCGGAGCCTGCCTGTGTGTGCAGTTGTCCTTGGACTTAGCGCAATTAAGAGCAGCTTTAGGCAGCCCGATCTGGGGGTTTGGAGGAGCAGTTTTGGGATGCTCGGGCTTCTCCTTCCCCCCCCCCCTTTTTTTTCCCTCCGACACCGGAAGGAGGAGGAAAGGGGAGGTGGAGGGAGAAGGGAAGGGAGGGAGGAGAGAGGAGGAGAAATTAAACAAACAAACAAACAAAATAACCCGCGGAACAAAAGCGGAGCCGCCTCCGCGCCGGAGCCTCCGCAGCTGCGGCCGCCTCCGCGCAAAGTTCCTGCGCGGGGGCGTCCCGGCCCTCCGCGGCTTCTGGTTCTTGATTTCTTCTTCTTTCCAGAACCGTGACACTTTTCCCTCTTTATTTACTTTTTTTTTTCTTTATTTTTTCCCTAATATTTGAGGCTGCGCTGAGGGCGGTTGCAGTTCTCTGTCCCTTTGCATCCTCCCCTTCCCCAAACTTGCCCCAGAATCCTAAAAAAACTAAATCCTCCCCTCTCACCTCCCCCGGAAAGTCCTTCCCTCTCACTTCCCCGCGTGTCGGAGCGGCCGCGACACCCTCAGTCTCTCCTTTAGGAGAGGCGACACTAATAAATATCCCGATCCGACCCTTTCCCTTCCCACCTCCCCCCTCTTCTTCTCCTTTTGCCACCGTCTCCCGCCCCCACATATTATTTAATAACCTTAATCCACCTTGGAAGAATGAGAGCGATAATTCGTTGCCGTATACGC